TCTAATGCCTACTCTGTCACTACATGTGTAAACTTACACATCACCTCCCTGTGCCTGGATATGCTCAACTATAAAATTCAAGGGTTGATCCCTTCCAGCTTTAATACTCTATCTTTCTACTCAAAATGACACAACTACATCCTTAATTCTAAGGAGACTTCAACTTTGACACAGCCTTTGAAGATAAAAAGGACAGCAATAATTTTCCCCTCAAGAAATCTCAACTATTCAGAAGACATCTCTTCTTTTCATAGGAATATCCTTCACCTCCAGAAGATACAAAGAGGTTTCACATGTGGACTGGTAGAGAAGGGAGACCAAGTAGACTGCACCACCTGGACAGGCAACGCACTAACAAAGGACTGGGACACAATGGACATTCATCACAAAGAGGTCACACACACTGGCTATGAGATCTGAAACTTTCCTCTATCACTCCTTCAACACTGTAAGACAGCTACCACCCAAATCAAGTAATTTATTAAATCTAGTTCACTGGATAGATCTAGAGTATCTGGAGAACCTGGCACTAAGTTACCTGGGATTTCTATCTGCCTGCTTCAGGAGACATCTGGGAATGGTAATTTCCTAACGTCTTTGCAGTAAAGACTGTAAAAGTCAAGTATGAACTTACATCAATGACAAGTTGAAGCCCAGCTCCGAGAAAAAGGTTTGTCCTCTCTCCTTCCCTAAATATAAGGCTGTCACTAAGTATTTAAGGCATATTAGCAAAAAAGGAAACAAAGCTTAGCTGAGTGGGAACCAAGTCCATAGTTGATGTTGCCGGTTATCCTACCTCCTCACAAATTTCAAAAGCAACTCTAATCCTGCAAGCTTCAGATTTGCACAAAACATTAAAAACTCTCTTCCAGATAAGCAAACAGAACTACAAAGACCCAGAGGAAGGAATCCAGATTTCAGAAGCTTGGAACAGACTCAAACAACTTCAAAACGGTACCTCAGGTGCAAACATTTCAAGAGCTAAATGCCATGTGGCTTGGCATTTAGATTTCTCAGAAGCCCCCAAACTAAGGGCTAATTAGCCCTAGATCTCACCTCCATCACTCAGTAATTCCAGCTCTCAAAAGGACCAGCAGTGCCCCAAACCACTGAGTTTCACATAGAACTAACTGACTACAAGGTTTTCAATAAAGTCATCCTCCATTCCTCTCTAATATAATTAGAAGACATAAATTCAAAAATGTCAAAGGCTAGAAGACAGAATCAAAATAAGTAGGCTAACATTAAAAAGGAACAACAAAAACTTCTCCAAAAAAATCTGCTCAAAAAATACAAAATGCAGCAGCTCACAGAGAAAATGTCAAGGGGGTTTGACTATCCAAAACATGATTATCTAATGAAGAAGTCTGTGCTCAGCACTGCCTAAAAAACACCAAAGGCAGTTGTAGGCTTAAGGTGCAGTAAACAGACATTTTCGCTAGGTCTCAGCAAACAGCTGTCTCTGTTGGCCAGATCATATCTCAATTACATATTCAATTCCAGACTCTTCATGTGAGATGCTGACAAACTGAGAAGACATCTAGAAACTGCATCCCAATAAAAGGCTGTGAAAAGAATTGGGACTAGTTTGCATTAGGAAAGTTAACTGGGGGTAAGGCGACATCATACTGTCTTTGTGCATTCAAAGAGCACAGCAGCTCCAAAATAATGAAATCAGTGGAAAAAAAAATCAAGGAGACAGTCTTCAGCTCAAGTAGTAATACAACAAACAGTCCAAAGATGTAATAACCTATCTTCAGGAGAAGTTGTTCACCGTTCCTGGTGTTATTTAAACAAAGGTTACCTAGCAATCGTTAAGAATTTACTAAAATAAATAAATTGGACAAGACCCCTCTAAAATGCCAATTCTGATTCTATGATTCCCAACTTACTCCACTATCATACTGTGCATAGTTCATCTGCTATGATCTCCCTCCAAACTGCCCCTTTCTTTCAACTAGGATTTGCCCAAACCCTAATCACATCAGGCCTGAGCACAGAAGTCTCCTTGATGGGTTTCCTAAGCTCAGTGTTATTATTCCTCCCATGTCAAGCATCTTCTCCCTTTAAGACCTTCTGAGATCTAAGGGCACGGTTTCTCAACCTTACCACTATCGCCACTTAGGACAGGAACATTCTCTGTTTATGAGGAAGGGGGTTGATGTCCTGTGCACAGTAGGATGCTTATATAGCATTCCTGTCCTCTACCCACTAGGTGACAGCAGTACCTGCACCCTCGATATGATAACCAAAAATGTCTCCAGGTATTTCTCAATGTCTGTTGAGAAGCAAAATTACCTATTGCTGAGAGCCACTGGTCTTGAGGCAAATGATTAACACCACTGATTGTGGTTAAGTTTTTCACTAACTAGGTTCCCTCTACCCTCCTTTTTAACTCATATTTTCTGTTCCACTACCCTGACCACTGTCAAAAGTCAATTCAGATTTCCAGGACTCCCTCAACATACTCCGTACACTTTCATCTGGTTCCACACACCCTGGATTTTAGACAACTGTAACTGGCTGCTTCTGTCAGCATCCTCATGTGGTCCTGTCTTACCTGCTCTCTGTGATTACTACAAGAATCCTCTTCTGCCTTGTTAAGATCTGATAGCACTCACTCCAGTTCTCTGCTTCCTGCTGACACTCAACAAATATTAACTGGTGTTTCTTAGAATGTCAAACACCAGCTGCAATTAAAAATAAGTGAAATCCCTTACAAGCTACCACTTCAAGAACATATAATCATGATTATAAAGTTTTGACAAACTTTTGACTTTTGTTTTTAATAGCTATTTTGTCTACAGTACTGAAAATAGAATCGAGTCTAATTTCCAAACTATAGCTACCAAAACAACTTAACTATTTGGAGAAGACAAACACATCAGAATTTTTAAAAATTAATTTTTAAAACTCTGCATAAAAAATAAGGAAGAGGGGGCCTAGTTTTTCTCTTTTTTTTTTTCCATTAAACTTTAGAGATTTTGAGAGAAAAAAAAGGCCAAGTTTTGACCACGTTTTTTAAATGCTGGAAAACACAGCAGTGAGAAAATGATATGAACATGGCTCAATACTTTAACTGTTGCATCATCTGCTACTCCACATGGTAATGGAAGGCTGGGTCATCTAAGGACAGTTTCCTCTCCAACCTTCTAATCTGTTAGGTTTTAATCAACACACAAACATACACCCTCAATAAAAATGAGACAAATCTATGACAAAGTGTTCAGATATATAAATAAACTGTGCCAATTCAAGATTTTGGAATTTCTCCCTGGCTCCATCGATTGCCTAATCATTTTATGAGGGGCTCCATAAATAACCTAGACACCAAACGCCCCCAAATCAACTTTCTGTAACTCCTGTTTTAACCACCTAATTTTCATCTCAGATTTTTCCCTATCTTGCACTTGGATTTTAACAGGAATTTAGTTAGTTGGTGTCAAGATGAAGCAAGAACCCTGACCTAGCTGACAGTAGGTGTGTGGTCACTATTTCTGGACTGTAAAAATAAATGCTGTTTGAAGACTCCCTTTACGGGATACGGTACAAGGTTCTTCCCACAGGTCTGTAAGAGGCAGAGAGGCTCCAGATGCTTTGACGAGGAAGGTCTGAATCACTGTCATTCTTGGCACTCGGACGGGCTCCTTGGTTGTTTATAAGGTAGACAGCCCTCACCATTACTGCAAACGGGAATTCCCTGCCTGTCCAGACTCTTCCAAAGTCCAGTACAGACCACGTAATAGGTGCTCAATAAACGCTGCCTGAACGGAATTTTACTATTAAAGCTGCCAAGGAAAGTTTCCAGAAGTCAGCTCTTTAGTCCTATCTCTCTTCCAAAATATGTCCTCACAGCTTTCTTTGTCCAACAAAAAAATATTTTTCAAGATCCAAGAGCAGGAAATCTGCGAAGCAACGCGGAGCCAAATATAAGTCCAAGAGGCTCCAGCTGGGTCCTACATTCCGCTAGGACTCCCCAGGATCTATTCCCTATTTCTCCCCCTTCCTCCTGAGTGCGCTCTCCCTCTCCTCTGGCTCTTTCTCACAATGCGCTACCTCTACACTTTCAGCCACATACACCCCCAACTGCGCGCTCCTGGGACCTCACAGCCCACCTCACCCTCTCCAGCAGGGACCTACCTCTCTTCCCCTCGACCTGCAGCAGTTCTTCTTCGCTGCGGCTGGCTTTTTAAGAAATCAAAAAATCTCATTTATCTGCAAAGAATATCCCCCAGTAAAGAGGGACGGAAAGGGGAAGGTCCTATCAACCCTCCAGTAACCGGAGGTGCTGGTCCTCCGGGCAACCCACCCCCAATTCTCCTCCTTTCCAAGCCCCTGGACAGGATTTGAGCAGAAGTCCAGTTCCCAAGAGCCCACGCCTCCAAACAAGCTAGAAGCGGATTATACCAGTACCCAACCCGGAGATGGCCCGCGGCCGGCTGGGTGCACCTGCGGGCCCCCAGCTCCCTCCCACAGGCGCGGGGGGCGGGGCGCGGGGCTTCATCTCCCCGCCCCCGCCCGCCGGGCTCCCAGGGCAGCCCACCCGCCACAGGAAGTGGAGGGGAGGCGATTCTGGAGAAGTTCAAGGTTCACCTTATGGACACCGGGCCAGCAAGGCCAGACACCAAACACCTACCTCCGGGAGGAACCCGCGGAGCCGAAACCGGCTCTCCCCGCCTTTCCGATTGGGCGGAGGGAGGCGAGAAAAGGGAGCGCGCGCAAGGGGTCCAGGAGCCAGGCGGCCGCACTCCCCTAGCGCAGAGCCGGCCGCCGCTAAGACAGCAGAAAGCGGAACAATCTCCCAGGCCCTGGCGGCTGCAAACGGGAGCCCACTCCGCTCGCCGCCACCTCCTCCGGACCCCCGGACGTCCCTGAATGAGTTCCCGGCCTCAGCCTCAGTTCGGGCCGCGGCGCCTGCGCCAGGTTGCGCCCTTCGGCTCCACCTGCGCGTCGCCCTCCCTCGCAGCCCCCGGCCCCTGCCCGGAGAGATGCGCACCAACCTTGCGAGGCAGCTCGGCCGCCGAGCCACGGCTTATGCTGAGGCCGGAGGTGGCGGCATCACCCGCGGCGGGCGGCGGCTGCACCCGGACGCGCCGGGGCGGCGAAGGCGCGCTGCGCCCTGGACCCTGCTCCCGCGGCCCCGCCCGCGGCTGCCACCTCGAAGCGCGGCGGAGGAGCCGGGGCACCACGGGCGGCGGCAGCGGCAGCGGCAGCGGCAGCGGCGGCGACGGGAGCAGCAGCACATGACTCTGTAACGAGGGGAATTAGACAAAGCGTAACATGGACTCCGGGCCCGTGCAGGCGCTGCAGCTCTGGGACCAACCGCAGCCGGCGAGCGCCGCGACTGGCCCGGCCGCAGCCAATGGGGCGGGCCCGGGCTTCCATGTGATTGCAAGCGCTTTCTCCGGTCGCCCTGCAGCGCCCGGCGGAGGTCGGGGCGCTTCCTCAGCCCAGCTGGCTTGCTGACCGGATGGGGTCTGTGTGCCTAGGGAGGTGGCCCGGGGTTGGGGAGTGGAGGCGAGCAACTGCTAGATGCGGAGCAGGTGCTTGGGAGGGAAAGAACAGCCGCCTACAACGCCATCGCTGAAATGGTCTCTCTAGCGCCCACCTGAGTAGGGTTCCGGGCAGGCGCTATTGCCAGTCAGGTGCGAGGCAACGTTAGGGACCTTCACCCGTCCTGGGCGAGGGAGTCTGTCCGGTCGACTAAAACTCTGATAATAAGACTTGGCGCGGGGGTTGGGGGTTTAATTCCGTTAAAAAAGTCACTTAAGCGCTCCAACTCTAAGAATACTTACCTGAACTTTAGGGCACACACAACTATTTCTTGGCATGGATAGTTTCCAGCTTCAAGTGTTCTGTCTGCTATTGAAGCTGTACTGGAAAGTCGGTGCGTGTTTTTATCTGACTCCGCCCCTTCCCATTCTTTTAATTAAAAATGTCATATATCTGAAACAGGCAGATGAAAAGATTGTTCTCTGCTAAGAGAGTTTCGTAGCCCTATAGGCGCTGTTGTTGTAGGATCAAGGCTCGTTGGCAGTCTTTGTGTGTGTCTGGGTGGGAAGAGGCAGGGGCCAAGAAATAAATTAAGGCGGAATGTTTGGAATTATTTGGTTCTAACAAAATATGTGATTCAATCCTGTGCTTCAGTATCTTCTTTTATCTGAATCCATGTGTTTCTGTAAACCACGGAAAGTCTCATCTGTCTTCTGCCAAGATCTCTCCATGTCAGCAAATGTTCAATCAACATTTACGCCCCATCTAAATGTTCTTAATAAGAGTGCTGCACAGAATCTTATGGGTACTCAGGAAGATGTTGGTTCAGAAATAGTGAGATATTAAAGAGAATGATTGTCTAGGGTTTCAGGAAAGGATTCAGAGAGGAGGTGATAGAACTGACCCTTGGATAGTGAGCACTTGGCCATCAGGCATTAGACTTGAAGATCAGCCCAAACAGGAACATGAACAGAGAGATCCATAATACACTCAGGGGAATGCCCAAGACCCTTTACAAGATGACACCAGATTCTGAGCCCTCGGCCCTTCTCTTGCTCTCACTTTTCTTCCCCGTCCCTCCTTGCCAGCAGCCTCTCCTGTTGCACACACTGCCAAGGAGATATGTGGGCAAGGAGTGTGTGGTAAGTGATCTGATCAGTGTCAGGTTTGCTGATCTGATAGATGAGCGGTCTTTTACAACTTAACAACTAGTGAACTGATATTTTGATTGAAAACAGCCCACCAGTATAATGAATTTGGAATGTTTTACTGTTTGTAAAAAATAATAATAAAGTCTTCTGTACTTGGCTCTTTTGATCTTCCCTGGGTTTTAAATTGTGATACTAGATTTGAAAAACATGATTTCAAGATTGGTATAAATTGAGAAAAGAAGTGATACTCAGAAAACAGTCAAATTGTGGAGAAATAGACATCCTCTCACACTTCAAATATAAGAGGAAATTGGACAAATCCCTTTGGAGGACAGTTTGGAAATTCTTGATAAATAGGTGTGTTCTCTTTGAACAGGTAATTCCATGTCTAGGAGTTTGTACTTTAAGCATATCTGTGCAAAAATTATGTCACAAATAATTACACATGTACAAAAATATGTATATTACAAGTGTCTTTATCACAGCATTTGTAATAGTGAGAACATGTAATAGTGTAAAAATCAAATAATGAAGTTCCAGTAGGAAACTGTTGAAGCAAATTTTGCTAGATCTGTAGAAGGAAACCTTAAGCAGCCATTAACAAAAATAAGCTAGATCTATTTGTACCTACATGAAAGGATGTTGAAAATCTATAAGTGAAAATAAAAGCAGGCTGCAGAACAATATGAATAGTATGATTCCATTTTGGGGAGGTTGCATTAAGATATACATGTTATTAAATGTATGCTTCAGAAGAAATCTGGAAGCATATATAACAAGCCGTTAATGGTGATTATCTCTGGATGTGGGATTACTAGGGCCTTTCACTTTCTGTTGTCAAGTTCTGTACATTTGAATTGTTTTTATATTGAGCACACATTACTTTGATGATCAGAAAAATAATTCTTAAAACTTAAAGGATTGTTTTAGTATATTCAAGCTATTATAACAAAATACCATAAGCTGGGTAGCTTATAAACAACAGAAAGTGACTAGGCATGGTAGTTTATGCCTGTAATCCCAGCACTTTGGGAGACTGAGGCTGGCAGATCACCTGAGGTCAGGAGTTAGAGAACAGCCTGGCCAAAATGGTGAAAGACCATCTCTACTAGAAATACAAAAATTAGCTAGGAGTGGTGGCAGGCACCTGTAATCCCTTGGGAGACTGAAGCAGGAGAGCCACTTAAACCCGAGAGGTGGAGGTTGCAGTTACCCAAGATCTTGCCACTGCACTTCAGCCTGGGTGACAGAATGAGGCTCTGTCTCAAAAAAAAAAAAAAAAATTTTTATTTCTTACAGTTGGGAGGTGGCTAGGAAGTCCAAGATCAAGGCACCAGCAGATTCCACGTCTGTTTGTGTGCCTTCTCTTTGGTTCATAGAGGGTGACTTATTGCTGTGTCTTCATATAGGGAAAGGAGTGAGGGTCTCTCTCAGGCCTCCTTTTTTAAGGCCATTAATCCCATTCATGAAGACTCTGCCATCATGACCTAATTGCCTCCCAAATGCACCACCTCCTAATCCCATCACTTCAGGGGTTAGGATTTCAACATATAAAATGGAGGGTGGGGTGGGGACACACAGAATTCAGACTGTAGCCTGGATAAAATTAGTAAGAAGTCTACCATCTCTGGTCTCAACTGTAGAAGCGAGATGACGAAGGGAACATCATCATTTGGAAAGCGGGGCAATAAGACGCACACATTGTGCTGCCACTGTGCCTCGAAGTCCTGCCACCTTCAGAAGTCAACCTGTGGCAAATGTGGCTACCCCGCCAAGCATAAGAGAAAGTGTAACTGGAGTGCCAAGGCTAAAAGACGAAATACCACTGGGACTGGTCCAGGGAGACACCTAAAAATTGTATACTGCAGATTCAGGCGTGGATTCCGTGAAGGAACAACACCTAAACCCAAGAGGGCAGCTGTTGCAGCACCCAGTGCATCTTGGAATTTCAATGATTTGTCATGTAATAAATGTTCTGGTTTAAAAAAAATTATACAAAAAAAGTCTACCAATGATAAATAATGAAAAATAACTCTGATCATCTGCAATGTCAAAACAAAACAAAAAACCAGCAGTCCATCAGCTTCCCCATTTCCACAAAAAAACAAACAGAACGGAGGCAGCAAAGGACTATAACTGATTTCACATTGGGTTCAGAATGAAGAAATACGATGGAAAAGGAATCGGAGGCTACTCTAGACATATCTACAGAGAAACAGCTTCTAGGAAGTTCTATTCAACAAAAAATTTCAGAGCACTTACTATCCTACTTATTATAGTTAAGAATTAGCAACTGTTTGAGCACACGGTAAGTCTGTATCACAATAATAGCAACTAATACTTACATAGGTCCTCTTCCAAATACTTCACACATACTTTTAGTCTTCACAGCAACCCCGATGAGATACTATTCTCATGTGATAGATGGGAAACAGAAGGCTTTAAAGAGGCTCTGTGGCTAGCTCAATACCACACAGCCTTTAACTGACAGAGCTAGATTTTTCAGTCAGGTGGCCTAGCTCTAGAGGTCCAAGCACTGAATCACAGTACTGTCTTAAAAGGACAGTGTAAGATAAATGCCATTATTTGTGCATCTTTTCTTACTAAGTATACTGATTCTAACTTGATTTATTTTTACCTAAACTATAGCATACTTTAAGACACTCAATAATACTTTTGAATGAGGGAATGAATAATTGACTTTTCTACAAAAGAAGAATCTGAGCTCCTTGGAGAAGTGATTTTACATTCTTCCATTTTATCACCCAGCAGAGTGCCTAACATATGGTAGGCAATATGGGTTTCAATAATCTGTAAACATGTTTTTGAAAAATTGTGCAGCAACCAAACTTTATAAATTGATTTCAAATGCACTGAGGTGGCTTATGAGTTAATGTCATGATGAATTCCTTGTGAAATGAAAAATGGCCCTGGGGGAAGGGGCTAACTATGGCTATATCTGCATAGTCATACACAAATAAATGTACAATATATTTGCTTGAAAATGGCAGTAATGCTGAAAAGCTTCAAATTATTTGAACCTCTCTCACCTCTCTCAGTTTCCTCATCTCTGCAATGGGCATACTAATAAATACCTCAGTTTATTATGAGGGAAAGAATTAAATGACATATGGAAAGGGCTTAGCCAAATACCTCAGAGGCATTGCTCAGTAAATGTTACCCAAGTACAACCACATTGAGTGTGACAAAATTTCTTAATCTCATGTTGCTCTTAATAACGTAATATGCAATATCTAGAGCACCTTCATGTTATCAGAAGACAGGAACTCAATACATATGGTGCTTTAAAATGACATGGTAGGAGTTCAGCCTAAGTAAATGGTAAAACGAATGTTTTCTCATTTTCTTTCCTCCCCCGTGCTACCTACTACTTTCGTCTTCTTTCTATTCTTTGTGTGGGTTAGACCCATTTCAATCTTTCCTTATAAGGGTTAAACCCCTTTCACTTCTCAGACTTATTTAAACTCTTGTTTTTTTGTTGGTTGTTTTTGTTTCTCCCCTGAGACAGGTTCTTGCCCTGTGAACCCGCCCAGAGAGCAGCGGCACCAACACCACTCTCCGTAGCCTCAACCTCCTGGGATCAAGCACTCCTCCCACCTCAGCCTTTCAAGTAGCTAGGACCACAGCATGCATCACCATGCCCAGATAATTTAAAACAAAACAATTTTGTAGAGAGAGGGTCTATGTTGCCCAGGCTTAAACTGTTAGCCTCATAAATAGCTGAAGAGGCTGTCTTCATTCCTCACAGCTGAGGAAATTGAAATGATGAAGACTAGCAATGAGCAGGTTGAAAGAGGAGAAGCACTGTGGAGGAGATGGAGCTGGGCAGAGTGTTGGGGGTAGCTCTCCATGAGTATGACATACATCAAGTCCAAAGAGGAAGGGAAATTGCCAGACTGCTATAATTAGAAATGATATGGTGAAACTGAAACTAGAAAAACTAAGGGTGCATATCTTAACCAACCACCACAAAGAGAAGAAAGAAGTGGATCTATGCCTTCTAAAATGGTTTCATAGGACTAGTTGTGTTGGCTTACTCCTGTAATCCCAGCACTTTGGGAGGCTGAGATGGGAGGATCACTTGAGGCCAGGAGTTTGCGACCAGACTGGTCAACATAGCAAGACCCCCATCTCTATTTAAATAAAAATAAAAAATGTATGTGAAGAGTGGTGAAATTAGGGTTTGCTATCTAAGTGAGTGGGTGCTTTGTAATAGGTAACCATGAAATAGGTCTTTCCTTCACTAAATTTTTTAAAAAAGGAAATACACCAAATTCAACTGCCTATGAATTTGTGACCATACACTCTGCCTTCCTGCGTGCTTCTACTATGGATGGATCTCAAAAGAATCATCTACTCATTGTCTCCAATTCATTCCCCGCTCCCATCTTAAACTTAACTGAATCAGGGTTTTACTCCCACTAAAACTGATCTTGCCAAGGAAACTGATGACTTCCACACTGCTAAATACAGTCAAGAATTCTTGGTCCTTACTTGACCGCTCAGCAGCATTTGACACCATTGAATGTTACTGCCTCTTCAAGTGGACTTCTCTTGCCTTTCAGGACCCCAAACTCATCCCCTTCAATGAGTTCATCCAGTTACATAGCTTTGAATTCCCTTTCTATGCCAACAACTCTGCATTTATATCTCTTACTCAGTCCTCTTTCCTGAGCTCCAGTTTGTGTTTCTGACTGCCTAGTGGGGTTCCTACTTACACATCTAATAAACATTTCAAACTCCACATGTTGAAACTGAACTCCTGATTTCTCCCCAAAACTTGTACATTCCACACAGCTTGCCCCCCTTACTAAATGGCAATTCCGTTCCTCCAGTTGCCTGGGCTAAAAGCCCTGAGTCATCCTCGACTCTTTATCTTTTGCAACTCACATTGAAATGGGAAATTCTGTTGGCTCTACTTTCTAAGTATACACCTCCATGGCTACCACCTTGGTCCCGTCCACCATCATCTCTCTCCTAGATTAACTCATTAGTCATCTAATTAGTCTATGTGCTTCTGCTTCTGTCATATCCCTCCCACACTCTATTCTCAGCAGCAGCCAGAGTGATCATTTTAGCACGTGTCTGATCGTCTCGCTCCTTTGCCTAAACCTTGTGATCGCTCCCATTTTGCTCAGAATAAAGCCAAAGTGCTTATGGTGACTTGTGAGGTTCATATATGATCTGCATACCACACCCCCAAATGTCACTTACTCAGAGAAGCATACCCGGACAACCAGATCTAAAGTTGGAACCCACTCCCTGCCTATTTCCATTTCCATCACCTTGCTTCATTATTTTCCTTTGGGCACTTATCACTTGCTTATTATATTTTTTGTTTATTATCTATCTCTTCCTGCTAGAACATAAGCTTTTTGCAGACAGAAAATTTTATCTATTTTGCCCACATGTATTTAGAATGGTGTCTTGTATGTAGTACACACTGAATAATTATTTTGTAATGAACTAATGCATTTATTTCAGATTTCCACTCAATAGTAAATGCAGGAAAATTTTTCCCGGGGAGAGATTTTCCCACATCATGCTGTTCTCTGAGTTTTGTTAATTGAAAAAGGGCAATCATATTCAGAGTTTCCATCATACATACCTATTACTAAACAAACAGTCATTTACATGGCAGGAGAAGAAACTTAGTGAAAAACATCACCAATTTTTGCTCATCTCTTATACGGAAAAACAATCTAATCTGAGTTAACAAGTAAACAAAATTGTTAAATAGTAATTCCAAAGTCCTAAGTTATATTCTAGTTAAGGAAAATATTAAAGCAAAGTAACACAAGAGTGAAAAGAATAAGAGCAGATTCAACATTCATTTTCCTGTAACAAATTATTTACTTTGAAACTGTCATGTTGTGCAGTAAGGCTGCTATGTATTCTAATTGGCTAAAATAAAAGAAAGGTTTAAGTGAGAATAAAGAACACAGATGTGACATAAAATAACAAGTGGGAATCTTAGTTATAGTTTTGCCAATTGAAAGTTGAAATGGAAAAAAAAATAATAAAACCCTTGGGAATGTCACCATAAGAAAAGAACTGAGCAATTCTTAAAAAATTAAAGAGCTCCCAAAGTAAACTGATTTGTATGGTCATTTGAAAAGAGGAAGAGTAATTGCTGTTTCCAAATGGTGAGTTGAATGTTTAGAAATCCACATGTAAATTACTTTGTTGGTGTGTCTCCTCAGAGCTCTTGTCTGTGGGAAGAGAAGATGAGCAGAGCCAGAAACCTTAAATGTCAAGATGAGGCTGAGCAGTGCCTGTGCTGGAGACTGAAATGTAGGAACAGGAAGAGGGAAGCCAGCTTGTGGGGTTTTCTTACTCATGGGTGAAATTCTGGCATTCTGGCTTTAAAAGACTATTATATCTGAGCATTGTTTGAAATTTCACCTGACAGCTTCTCAAAGCAGCAAAACCTGGAGATGATTTGAAAATCAAGTTCAGGCTGAGAGGTTGTAGCCATGTAACTAAAAGTCAGCATTATCCTAATATGAGTGGCTCCCTGGGCAACACAGATGCACAGAAGAAGGCAGCAGTTCTGTCTCCTGTTCCTGATCATTCTCGAAATTGGTGCCCTTGCTTAGCTCAGGCAGGGAAATTAAACCAAAGGGGAGTGAGATACTTAAATTTAGGTGTCAATTTGATTAGGTTAAAAGATACGCAGATCATGGTAAGGCATTATTTTTGGGTATGTCTGTGAGGGTGTTTCTGGAAGATATTGACATTTGAGTCAGTGGACTGAGTAAGGAAGATCCACCTTCACCCAATGAAAGCAGCACCATCTAATCAGTTGAGTCCAGATAGAACAAAAAGGCAAAGAAAAGGCAAATTCAAATTCCTTTCTGGAGCTGGGACACTCATCTTCTCCTGTCCTTGGACATTAGAACTCCAGGCTCTCAGGCCTTCATACTCCCAGCCTTGCACTAACAGCTCCACTAGGGTGTCAGGCCTGCAGCTTCACACAGAGAATTATGCTGTTGGCTCCC